GCGCGTGTTGAAATAATAAAAGAAAAAACTGAAACGTTAAAAGTGGCAGGGCAATGCTCAAACCTGTACAAGCACACTGAGTGGGGGAACTGAGCGAAACGCGGCGCCTTGTTCGACTTGCTGGACGGAGGCCGGCGCAACACGATTTACCGCAGCAGCACCTTCACAACGTCTGTAATACATCACCGCATAAAAGTCTTAAAAAGAAGCAAACCAACAGACTGGCCAAATGGCAGCACAGTGCTCAATCTGCATAACGCCGGACCGGGCTAAATTTATCGGGCCACATAACATACCAGCACGGGGGGCTAAAGTACTTGCCTCTAAATGTGAGTTCCAGCATTTCTGTAACCCGAAATTCAAGGCCTTCACAAATCCGCAGGCAAAAATCAAAATACGACAGTGGAAACTAATGAAAACAGCTTTGTGTAAATCAAAGCGCCATGAATTTACACTTGCAGAGAGTGACAGGCTAAAATGCTCTAGAGATTAAACCATTTTTAGTTATCGCTCATTATCTGAACTAAAAAATTCGGAATGGAAGCATTGAATTTTGGCTGTAATTGTAAATTTTGGCCAAAAACTCAGGTCAGCCCTGTAACTCAGCACAGACAGTCATAATTTAGTGCAGAGATCGGAAGTGATGTTATCATCTGCATATGAGTTAAAATATTAGCATAAATTTAGGCTAGAAAATCCGCACCACGCTGTATTTTGAAGAACTAAAATCCCATAGCCGGAATACTGCCAATTTTGCCGGCAATCTGTAGACGCTGTGCGCTAGTAAGAGCTATTTACGAAAAAGTGGGTCAGGCCTACTTGGATGACTTCCAAAGAAGTGGCACATATCCATAGAACGGGCAATGGGTACTAACTCCAGAATCGAAAGGCCTGGCGCCGGTCAGGCTTGTGAGACCGATCAAACACCAATACCGATATTACTAGCAATCTTGAAATTCTCGGTGTTTGAAATCGCACTATGACTGCGAATTAAAAACGGTACAGTTAAGCTGGGAGAAAATTTGAAAAGTACGAGCCTTTTTCTTTTCTCGCTTTTCCCTCATCTATACTAGCCCTGTGGATTCTCGGAAAACCTCGGCTAGGAAGTACCAAATTTGCCGGTGCAATCATTCGTTTTCGAACTTGAAGCAATCAGGTCATCAACTGCATGAATTGCTGTTGCTTTACATTTAACATATACACTCATTGCTGTAAATCACTATAAATTTTGTATAAAAGGAAATGAAAATAATTCATGTTGGGCGGCCATTCACGCAAACAGCCTAGCTATTCTGGTTCCCAAACTAACCAGTGCCCGCCGAATTTCACACACTCGTGCGCGAGAACCAAGCGTGCCTAGGAGCTGAGTTTGAAATCTGTAAGTTGTATGTGGGAAATGAATATGTTCTTAAAAATCAGCTTTTCTGGTTCCCAAGTTGACAATTTTCCCACCAGTATCTTCGCATGCTCACAGCGAGAATCATACGTGCGTGGAAGTGAGTACAGCGGGCCCAGGATACCCTAGCTGGGGAACACACTGGCAAAATCTCAGTGCCAAAGCTCGTTCGATCGCCAAGTTTAAATATCCGGACAGACATATATACACACTCAGCATGGACCGTCACAATATGAATTTTAGCGGTTGCATCTATGCAAAAACGTATAAAAAGAGTGGAAAAAGAGCGAAAATAGGCTTTTTAAGAAAATCAGTGTGGGATACCTCAAAACTTCACATATTCTTTCTCGAAACCGTGAACTAACCCACAAGAAATTACCTCTCTAGCACGACTGCAGTACTGCAGTACACCAATTGCAAGCGAGAAGGGTAAGGGGAAACCAAAAGTTTCCACTCACAAAACAGGCCAAAAAATGTAAGAAAAGGCTTACGTGACGCTGGTGCACAGACCCGTTGCTGGATTATGTGCGCGAGTGCGTGCAGCGGATGATGACGACGACTGCTGCTGCTGCTGCTGTTGCTGCAGCTCAGAACTACTGGGTGCTGCAGCTGCAGCCGCAGCCGCCGCCGTCGTTGGCGGCGTATTCGTGTTCTCCGGTGCAACCGCAGCACCTCCTCGACCTGCCACTGTGGCACGTCCTTTTCGCGCACGTGGTCTGTCCCTAGCACCTCTGAAAGCATCAGCTTATTGTAGAACATGGAATTGGCTACCAGACACGTCACTGACACTGAAAAGAGCCAATGACTTTGAGTACCAGTCTCCTAAACCGTGAAATCCACTTCGAACTTTATTTCTTTTTCAATAGCCTTTCCCATCTTTATAAGCCGAAATTCTACTACCGCGACCCTAACAGTTAATGTTCTTGACTAGTCTTATGCCCTGTGTGTGTGTAAGACGCCTAGTCATATATACGTATATATAATTACACCGAATATTAAAAGGTAATATAGAAAAAGGTGGTGAGGTTCTGGAGAGCCAGAGCAGGAGTAAAAGCTAATAAATAGGTCGAGAGTGACTGATGGGTAGTGATCATCCCGGCGATAGTGAGGAGTGCTTTTATACCCCAGAGGTCAGAGATTACTAAAACAGCGAAAGTTTAAGGAGGACAGGGTATCCAAAGTTTGAACCAGGTATTGCGTCATAGTAACGCAGTTGTTCTTTAACCTACTTTTAACAAAAACCATAAATCATTATTTGATCTAAGACACTACAATTATCCGATTTGACATTGCACTCCTTACATATTTAAAACATACTTAAACAATTTACACAGCTCACGCCGGAAAGCAAGGTGCAGTGGGTGTGGCACTGTTGCTGGCCAATAAATCAAAGGTCCGACTCTGCCGGTGGGACAACCAATCCATTTAATATTCGCTTAGGCGGTAAACTGATACTGGCATATGTCAGGGAAAGGAGGGAAGAGGGAGGGGGAGGGTCAAACCCGTCATCAGGTTGCTTGTAAGCAAACCTCAAAAGAGGGACCCAACGAAGCTTCGCCAGCGGGTGGTTGCTGTTGGCATTTGCTACCACTCAGTTTAGCTCCCGAATACCTCCGCTTCTCACTGACAGCGAAATACGGAAGTAGTTTTTGACTTTTGGTACAATTAACATTTATATTTCGACCGCTGATAAGCATGGCGAACTGGCAATTAGTACTACTCGCGTGCACGAAGTGGATGGCTTGATTCAAGCGCTTTAGATGAGTTTGAAGACGGATGCGGCTTTGCCTTCGCCTCTAATCACGTATTACAGTCACATTTATTCGCCAGCATATCCACTCTTCCCCATCTCGTTACTTTTGCATCGGCACAGGGTTCTTCTATCATATTGTTGGCTTTCTTCGTGTTCCCTTAATAAGTGGAAACCATTCCATAAGCTGCTTCATTCACCCGTTCTTCTCCGTTATCGCCGATGCCCAGGCCCGCTTCTCCTGGTACACCGCAAAATCTCGCATACAGGAATATCCGATCGTACTTGCACATTTCTTCCCTTTATCTCTTTCGCATATAAGCATTGTTTCAGTCTCAATTTTTTCGGTATCTTTCGTGATGTAACATAATAGGTGGACAATGTGTTTGGTAAATTTGCAGTCTTTTCACCTTTTATTTTGGATTTCTTCCAAGCGAATTTTGGCAAGTCCCTTTGTCAAGGCCTGGACCCTCCCCCACCTAACCCCCCTTCGATACCGGTGAATCTAACTGGTCAAAACATCGATGCAACTGGTCGGCCACCCGTCTCCACTGCAAACGTCACGGATTGCGTGTCGGAAAACAACAAGACATCTACACAAATTGCATTTACTTTACAGTTTTCGTGGGAAATAATGAACCGAGAAGTCGGCCTTTCCTTCTGCCATCAGCTGGAGAGCTGTCTGTAAGCCCATGTGAACCCGCTTTCCACAGTAATTTTTTGCAGCTATGTCAAGACTTCCTGTTTATGAATGATAAAGTTTGGGATGAGGTGGTAGTGCACTGTAAGGGGTAAATGGAACAGCTCAAGTTTAGCCAAGCGTTTTTGTTGGGAGAACTGCTGTGCCAGTAAACCTTACAGAGGACGAAAAGAACATAAGGACATGCAGCAAGCTGATTAGAAGACGATGCAGCAAAAGCCGAAACGATTGGCAAAGTTGTGGATTGCGTTGTCAGACGGTGAGACTAAAAAATTCAACTGATTCATACATCTACGTCTTTTAAATTCAACAGTCAAACTGCCTCTTGTATTTCGCTTTTAATGAAAAACGGAGACAGTGGGGGAGATTAGCCCAAGTGGTAGCAAATGCCAAAAGCAACTACCTGCTGGCATGGTTATCGATGGCTCCATCTTCTGCAAGCTAATAGCGGTTTTGTCTCTCTGTCACAAGTCAATAGCAATTTTTTACCATCGAACCGAACCGTCAAGGGACTGGCTGTCCTACAGAAAAAGCCGAAGTTTTACCTACTGCACGATAGCAATGCCATGGCTGCAAGCCAGTCCAGCCATGTAATGTGACATTTTTCATATATTACATCATTCTAATTTTGAATACATCCTCTACATAATCCACATCTTGTTTAATCCGCCTTTCTTTGAAAACTCTATCAGGGATACGAGCAGATCCGTGTCGAAAGCATTCGTTCATTTATCCCCTCATAAGAATCCAAAAATGCTCCTTTTGGTGTACATAAGTGGGATTGCATAAAGGTTGAATGCGACGTCAACGCCAGCTTACAGTCACAGTAATCCAAAAGTTTCCTTATCCTACTTTTCAGTTGACGAAACACAGATACCTATATTTGCAGAAATCTCCCTCATTATATATGCCGGCAGCTTAGTCTCCGATGCTGCTGCATCCGTAAAGTATCATTACCAAACTATTTTGGGCTTTCCTGTCATATATCGCGATGCGCTACACAAGTGGCGCAACTCATAACTCTAAGAATGAGCCAAAAATGGCAACTACTAAAATTTGGCTAGGCTTGACATGGCCCGTTGAAGGATGAGTTGCGATTTTGGTGACATCTCCCCTGGGATTAGAGGTAGAAGTGAACTGTAACTTCGATTTCAACTTGTACGGTTAGGGAAGAGGTGCTGGTCTAGGTCATAAAAAATAGCAGGGTAAGAGAAGCGGATTGGATTAATGACTAGGAAAAAGTTGAGACCTTGCCTGAAGGACCGGAAAAAGGACGAGGATTGTAAGGGGCGGGGGTGGGGAGTTATACGGATGATGCTCAGCAAGAAAAATGATGCTAATCTGGTTATCGCATGATTATAGCATGAAAGTAGTATGAAGAACGTAGAAAAGAAGGCAGGAATACAACGAACTATGTAGTGCAAGAGGTAGGAATATTTCTGGCGCAGGAGAAAGAAGAACGAGAGAGTTAAGACGTTTCGGTCCATGAAGTCATATACGTCTAATTTTAAACTGATACTTTTTTTTTGCCCGCCCTTACTCAACTCAAATTTCTTGCTCAGTATGATAAACTTATAGAAGAAGAAACTGAGATTTGATTGAACGATGGAAAACATAATGATGCTTGCTGGTGGCAGCAAAGCCAGACTGCAAAAACTGAAGCACCGGAAGATTCAAGATATGCTTCGGAATTATTCCGAAATAAAGGGAGCCGGTGCACTCGTGTTTTTTGTATTTTCCAAGCAATCGAATCTTTGTATACAAATATGCCAGTGTTTCTGTTTATTAAGATCTTGACTGTAATGGCAGCCCGCACAACAATTACAACTTTTTTTTTTTTTCTTCCAAAAGCGACCCGCATATGAGTGCATATTGCGTGGACAAGCCAAGTTAAGTCGAGTTCCAGTAACTGTCCCAAAAATGCGAAAAGACGGAGTGAATGCGATATCAGGGCAGCTATTAAAATTCGGCCGGACTCATCGTGAAATATGCGCCCTTTTTCGTACTCGACTTTGAATTTCGGGGACTTTGGTACCGGGTTCTTCATTTGCATAAGGTTCAAGATTCAAGATTGCTAAATTGCCCTCAGCACCATGTTTCAGGATGCGCATGAAAACTCAGAAGGCACCGCCCCACAGTCCCCCCCCCCTACTTCCTCATAAACCCCGCGACCTAAACCATCCCCCCGCCTCTAACCCCTGTCCTCTTTTGACCCCGCCTGTCTTTCCATCACCACCCCGGCCATGGTAAGTGGGAAAGCGACGTTTTGGTGATTCACAAAACGTCGTCTAGCAAAAGGCAGACATTCCTAATTGGAATGATTGCTTCTTGGGTGGGCCTCGATGGCTCTTTCCACTCCTCCCATTTTCGGCTTCGCTCGGCCGGATTGAGTAACTGCTCTTTTCTTCGATAAGATGCTGGTTTGCTTAGCATGCCAGATGTCTACACCTGTGACCTCAACCTCTTTCCAGAAGCGCCAACGATGACCTCTTGCCCTCGATCCGCCGCCAAAATCGTTGAAAAAAGTCTGCGCGGAATTCTTTACTACGCTCAATTTATGCAAAACAGCTGTTGGACATTTTCAGTTGCAGCAAGACAAAAGTTTGCCAAAAAATGCAACTTAGGAGGTACGCAACATCAAGGGACCATTGAAAATACTACTGTAATCGTTTCAAGCAATCATTTGCAATCAACTATAAACGGATGGGGAAGGGGAGGGGAGGGGGAAAAAAGTGGAGGGGGAGAGAGTAGAGGGAAGGAAGGGGGCTCTCTCGTCCCCTCTATTCTTCGTGCTTCAGTGGCACCGAAAATAGAATGTTCGTTTTGAACCATGCGCTTCCCGCAAATTTCGTTCATTCTTCTTCTCGGATGCCTCTTTGCTTCACTTTTTGATGAAAGGAATGCTTTGGAAAGAAGAAATTTACCTCAACTGTTCAGTTGCGGCTGAGGCGCTGGCCGTGGGCGCCGAATGGTCAATGTTGCCTGATGTTCCCTGATTCTGGAAGAACACAACGATGCGTACTTCATTTTATGCAAAGAAAAAAAAAATATCAAACATTTGGAGCATTTCATTTTATGCAAAAAAATCCCTGCCCCAGCCCCTCCATCCCAGTCCTTACAACAGTAACATTCACCCTCCGCATTCCAAGAAATTCTACGAATAACAATTGTTGCACTACAAATTTTTTTTAGAAATTTCGTTTTTTGCTCATCTCAGCATCGACAATAAAGGCGTTCCTGGAAACTGATGAAGTGTGCCACAATTAGTTTTAAATTGCACAATTCACTCCGCATAAGCTAGAACTTCGCTTTCAGACACAACCCGAGGGAAAACAGCAACAGGCCTCTGCTTTTAATACTTACGCTTGAGCCTGCAAGTGAAGATTGGCGCTGTGAGCGTGTGAGACGGCGATCGCCTGGATTTTGGTCCGGGAAGAAATCTGTCAAATACTTCAGCTCGTTTCTGATACCGCTTTCGTGAGTGCTACGAGCGGTGCCCGATGCACCGGCTCGTCCACCCCTTCCACCGGCCGCCGCGGTTCCCGATGAACCCGCTTGGTGGGAAGATGTTCGTCGGAGCAGCTCGTTACTTCCTGGATTCTGTAAATTTCACAAAATTTCGTCAGAGCATACATAAAAAATCTTTTTACAAGAAAACTGCATAGCATCCACGAGCAAGCTACCTGCTCCGACGAGGAATGGGCAACGCGACGCAGCTTGGACGACGTGGAACCCACTGCTGCTACTGCACTGGTCGATGAATTCTCCGGCGCTGCTGATGATGAGCCTCCTGAAGTTCACAAACTTTCAAAATATATTTGGGAATTCGGCACACTGCAAAGTAACCACCCTCCGTGGGGCGAGGGCCGAGCGGGAAAGCAAAGTGCAGAGAGTAATCGATCGGAAGAGCTGAACAACGACTATCCACGCATCACATGAGGATGTGCTACACTGCGCCAATCTTTGGCCCGCTTTTCAAATTCCCTGTCACCCCGCGGCGCCGAAAACAATCGTCAGTTTCGAGCTGCTGCTACTCCAGCTGACGCTTAGTTTGCTACCACAACCCAGACGCCTCGCTCTTTCTTCGCTCTTAAGCCAAAGACCATTCTGTGCAAAGGGGAAAAAAGACGGAACCTGAATTTGGCGACAAACGTTTTCTGCTAGGATGGGGCGGCGCTGCGTTGTCACCGTTCTGCTCAGACGCCGATCCTGTACTCGACATGGAAGGAAGAGCTGCAAGCAAAATTCATCGATAACACTGGGGACGGCAAAGCATCTCACGGCGTATTGCGTTTTTGCGATTGCATCAATAAAACCACACCTTTGGACTCTTCGTTTTCTGCTTCTTTTACTATTGCTATTATATATTTGCCCTTTAAGTTAGTACCATATAAAGGGGAAACAAATTAGCATTCTACGTTAGCAACCGGCCTATCGGCGCCTGCCTCATTCAGGATGCTTGGAAGTCTTTCAAAATCGACACTTTGAGGACATCATCTACACTGCAAAATTCACATTATACGTCGGTTCCCCGACGTGCGGTTGCTTCGTTTAGTTTGCGGCACTAACCTCACCGCGATAGACGTAACTGTCAACGTATGTATGGCAAAGTACTGCATGTGAGATGTGAGGGGGAAGAGGGCCGGCATCAAATGCAACCTGTAAATTTATCCATAATGTCGTCCAATAGATGTTACTTATAAATTTATATATGTATATACATATATATATATGTGCTAATCTTATATGTAAAGAAAATAATATAAAATTATGCCAAAAATTGGATGAACAAGAATGTTTC